TGGGGTTAAACCACAACAATTACAAAGAAGGAAGCCTAAGCAGTGAGAAAGATTACTCAAAAGAACTTGCAGAGTGGATTTTGGGTGCCTAGGAAGCCAGAACTCTGCCAAATTGTTTTTTACTGATAGGTCATGATCAAAGCGTTCATTCCGAAGCTGCTTGCTTGCAGTGCACACCCGCAAGACCAGTGCTCTTCAGTCATGGAAATACATATGACAAGTAAGAATTTGGGTTTAAACAGCAAAACAAGCTGACATGTAAGTATAAGGCGGCTCCTTTTTTGTAAGCAAGGATCCAGAGAAACCTCCAAAATTAAAACAAACATCTAAAAAGCTTACAGACACTGGGATTGCAATTATTTTATTAATTCTGAAATGCAATGCTACTTTCTTTTAAAGCCAAAATGAAGTTAGAAGACAATATTTCACCACAGTTAGCACTTTTAGTTAGTTAGTACCAGAAAAGCACACTCTCGCTTTCCGAGCAAGAGGCTAGGTATACAACAACTGTGAGCATCAAAGAACTTATTCAAGCACCAAGGGAAGAAAACAACAAAGACGAGGAGACAGATGTTGCAAGACAGCTGTAAATGGACAAGAGTCTTCAAACTGGGACTCTGCCCCACAAATGCCATCTAACTTTATACAGAAACCATTACGAAGGAAGAAATTGTTACAGACCAACAAAAAAAAAAAGCTGTTCTAAAATGTTAAAATTATTAAAGCAAAAAATTACTTTCCCCTTCCCTCTCCTTCCCAGCATCATTTTTTTAACTTACATTATGTGCAGGGATAATAATAGCAATAAACTTATTGCAAGATTAATTATTGAGGGATTAAGATTAAGAAAAAGCATGCACTACAGTAGTGGTATTGTAAAGTGAGCTTTTTTCTTCTCTTTTCACTAATCTTCATATAAAGCTGTATTTAAATGTTATCAACTTCAGCATCGGGTCATCATTTTCACAATTCTTTTACATGAAATCAGTCCCCCCCTTTCGCAACAACTGGTGGAAGGCGATGCCAATCCAAATGAAGCAATTATGTCAGCAATCAAGTCAAACCATTTTCCTTTTTACTCACTGTAACAGTCTTTAAGTGTGATTAATCAAATCAACCTTCCCTTTTCAGGCAGAGCTGTAATTGCTAAGTGCAAATTAAAGCATATTATATATGACATATGATACTTAATCTGAAGACAAATTTTTATTAAGGTTCAAGTCAAACTTTGTTAAGTGAGTTACGAGATACCCGCTGAATATATCTTAACATTACGTACATGCCCTACAGGAAAATAAAAAATAGTACAAAAATACTTCAAACCCCATAGATAATCCAACTGTTTGACAAAAACCAAAGAGTAACAGTAATAACATGTTTGTAAGAATAAATAAAATATCTTCACAGATCCTATCATGCAGTTTAAAATGGGGTAGCAGATAATTCTACATTATTATAAAAACAACAAACCAAAACATCCGAAACCTAGGATCTCAAACCTAATTCTTTTTCAGCATAATGCACAACAATCCTTCACAAAGATAAAGCAGACCTACATTCACTACTGCAGTAAGCTGATACAACTTCTATGATTTTAATAATAGTTGACAATGGTCGTGAAATCCATTGCTACCACTGTCCCCTAAGCAAAGAGGGGCAAGGAAATTACCCAGTAAGGAATTTAAAGGATGGGAGTTGATATTCTTATTCAATACCCCAAGGTTTATTTTACCTTCTTAATTTTCCATCTATTGATTAGCATATCAATGCTTCCTGATGCGATTAAATATAATTCTTTGTCCTACTATATGTGTAACTGTGAACCTATATTATTAACAAAAGCTGGAACAGAACAATATTGTCTCAGAAATGCGAACAGGAATAAGCAGCCTGCAGAACCTCTGAAAAACCTTCACAAGCTGACAGGACAAAAAAAGTCCAAAAACAAACCTGCAAAACATGACATGGGATATCGCTTTTGTAGGTTTTGCTACCTACACAAACATGATGTGGGATATAGCTTTAGTTCAAAAAGAAAAAAAAAAAGCATTGGGGACAGTGTTAGTAACAGAATCCATCTTCGGTGCTGAACAGTCAAAATGCAACATATTAAAGGATGTACAATTACAAAGAGTTAATCACTTACTTTTAGGACAGTGTTTTGTCCTATGAATAATCCTCCACAGAAAGGGTTTGCCTCATCCCCACCAGACTTTATTGTTTAGGTCACAGAACAGTTAATAACGTCTGTATTAATAATGAAACCTTATAATACATTTACACGTAAAAATAATTACAAGACACCTGTTCAGTGCCCTGTGCTTTTAAGTACACCATCAGTCCTCTTAAAAAAATCTTACCTGAAATAACTACACTGTTGTATATCATAGGAAAAAGTGTGTTCTATCATAAAACACATTTTCTACCCAATTCACATTAGAAGCCATCCATTTAGAATGTAAGCATGAAAGTAAAATAATTTAAATCAGGTGTGAGATTGTCATACACCAAGATGATTTCAAGGCTGTAAATCCTCTCAGTTTAAAGTGAATTAAGGCAGAATGGAAAGGGTTGTCAATATCTAAAATCCATTCCGGAAAGACTCTTTAGTTTAAGTCCAACTCACTTAACTATGCCATAACACAAGCAGTGAAACAAGAGAACTTGGTCTTCAGCCAATGTGTCTTCCTTACCCCACGAAAGTCCGCAGCCCAGCCCTTCGGTCAGCTTTCCTCTTACACAGCCCATGACACCCCGCTGGGCAGTACACTCCGACACACCACACGTCCTGTAAGGGATCTAAGCATGATGTATGTTGTATGATGACCAGCCAGCTGGCTGCCACTGTCTATGGAACAGGATACAGGCTCAGTTCCCCCATCAATAAAGGGAAAAGTGCCGGTTTATTTCCTACTTTAAACAGTCCCAGAAGGGGAAATCTAGCACCTCTGGGAACCCTATTTTTCTTTCCAATCTGACAATTGCCCAATAGCTTCAGAAATTATTTTAGGAAAAGGAAGATGTATTTAATGAGTCAGCTGACAGAGAGCGAGCCTTTGACCTCCACCTCATCATGTCAGAAATCCAGGATGAAATGTCCTTGTGAGTAAAATTCATGTATTCCAATTGTGAATTTGTTGTCTTCAATTCTCATTTTTCATTTAGTAAAAGCAGTGTTTCCTGTAGGATGGATATGTCCAAACTACCCACACAATGAAGAATAAAGTAAACATGCTAAAGGTAGATTTCAAGAAGCCTTCGCTGCTTGGAACCTTCTGGGTGGGAAAGCTTAACGCAGACGTATCTACTCCACTGAGCAATAGCCAGACTCTCTCTGGTACCCGAAATACCTTTTCAAACTTAACTCAAGGCACACCTAAACCTAAATGCAATTACCACACTTCTCTTTTATTTTTCCCATTAATTGTGGAATAGCATTTTTAAGTGGCTATCACTAGTTTAAAATACTGTTACAAAGCAGAAACAAGTTTATCGCCTAATTCTATCCATGCTGTATTCCTGTCATTATATGCATTTTAAACTACCAATTTAATACCTCATCTCACTTGCACTCACCTGGCATGGGCAGCAGGGTATAAGGAAGGGGAAGAAAAGAAAGACACAAAAGGGAGAGAGAGGAAATAAAAAGGTGCAGTTGACCAAGTAGTATAAGAGACTTCTAACTCTCCATACCATGTCAAGACAGGATTTCATAGCCTAGCTTTGAGTCCAATAGTAAATACACTTTTACTTCTGAAATCAGGCACTTTTAAATGCAGTTTTCCTTGTACTGTACACTTCTGGCAGATGCATATCTAACTGCCTTTACTACCTGTTATTTTTTTTTACCCCATAAACAGTCATCTCTTAAAGCTAACCATGTTATTTGAGAAATATTTCAAAATTAATAAACGCTATGAAAGTCACATGAAGTTCACTCACAGAAAGCAATCTAACAGCTCACCACAACAGCCAATGCAGGGTTTCCTTACCAGAAGTTTTAGCCTGAACACATGTCCAGTGACATTATCTGCTGCAGAGCTGCTCCTCCTGTTTCACTGCTTAGGTGCGGGAAACAGAATATTCCTCCCCACCCAAGCAGTGCTCAGGATCCACAGCTTAAATCACATTTTCCATGCATGAAGAAAGAAGTATCAGATTCTAAGCTATCAGTTTTCAGAATTTACACTTCACATGCATACTATGCTATTATTTGCTGTATGTACGAAAGTATTTTTCATCCTCTGGAAAAGTTTTCCTTTCATGACACACTCTACCACAACTGCTATTTATTGTAAAATTCTACATAGAGTGTCACTTTTTGCCTAAACATACCCAGATACTTCATGAAGTCTCTGGATTTACAAAGTTTTCTTTGAAGCTGCCTTAATTACAGGAAGGTTTTGGGCTTTTTTTTATTTGAGTTAAGAGAAGCCAAGGACAAGATGATTAGTAGTCACAACATTAATCTTTTCGGTATATCTAACAACTTCATTTAGTGTTTAAGACACAAACCCTTGTGGAGTTGCTGTTCTGTTGAGCTGAAGTTTATGTACTTGCTAGGAAGTTACTTCTACCTCTTCTGTCCCCCTCTGAGACGTAACAGATGTGCTCTCAGGAAACTGAATCTGATAGGAAACACTCTAGTGAACTCTTAGAAGGCTGAAACAGAAAAATAAGATTCACAAAGTGACAAAGGAACCCAACACATTTCATTTAAAGACTCCTCTGAAGTGGGAAAGAATTCCCCCATCAGCAACAAGATTTAGAAAATACACTATCTGTTACTATTATCACTAAAATTAAGAAAGGTGTATTTTAACAATTTCCAGGACAGACTTTACATACACTGCTTTCATCACTGGAAAGGAATAACACCACTCATACAATACACATTAAACAGCAGACTCCAGACCTTAACTTCCTAGCACAGTCGAGCAGCTTCATGCTACATTAGTCTGGTAATGCAAAGAGAACCCAAAAATAGAGACATTTTTAACCTGGACTGTCTAAGCCTCCAAGGAAATGAGGCTTAGGCAGTCCCACATCTGTTCACTTGTCACATTTAACTTCTAAACTTGCTGGCCAGTTTCAGCTGGATTTGATAACGGGCTTGGAGACTCTAAAATAATTAAGTTCCTGTAAATTCTACAAAAATTAGAGGCTGAGTACAAAAGAGACACGTGCATAATGCTCTTACTGAAGGCAAAGAAGTTTCGACCAACCTATTATTCCTCACCTAACTAATGAAATAAACACACTCAGTGTGCATGTCTGTATATATATAGTTGAGTGTATATATATAGTGTGTATATATATTTGAGTATATATACATTTTATATATTCAAAACATAACTGGACATGCTCCTGGACAACCAGCTCTAGACAACCCTGCCTGAGGAAAGGGGTTGGACTAACTGATCTTTAAAGGTCCCTTCCAACCCAAACCATTCTATGATTCTATGATCTCAAGAGGTCCCATCCAACCTAAACAGTTTTGGGGTGGGGTAGTGGTGGTGTGTTGTGTGTGTGGCTTCAGAGAAGCCACACCAAATGATTTCAAACAGGGATGCTAGATTAGAAAATCAGGGGGAAAAGGAAGAAGAATCCTTTGGAAGGTAAAGGACATAAATCCAAAGGCAACTGAGCTTTAGCAGTTATGCTGTTAATGATCCTTTTTCTTCAGTGACCTTCAGAACTTCACCGAAGACTTGTCACTTCACTGCTTATGTGCTATTAGCAGAATCATTTTAGAAATCATCTCTAGGGGTACAAGCTACACAAATGCAATTACACTAGTGTAAAACATACTTTTCGTATTAAAGATCATTCCTCTAACCTTTTACACTGATGTGAATGTACCCACAAGAGGAGCTGCATAGCTTTCTAAAACACATATTCCTTATTAAAAGATTAAATTAATACAAAACTGTAGAGATGAGGCTTAAAAGCGACATTTATTTTGACTGCCATTTTGGTGGAAAAGAGTATTGGATCACAAATTTTGAAACAATTGCCAGGGAAAAGAGAAAAAAAGGAGAAGAAAAAAAAAAAAGAAAACCAGCAAACTACAGCAAATGGAGAATTTAGGGACATGACCAAACACTTCCAGCCCAACTGAATACTACAGAAGACTCTTGTACAAGCAAAAGAGCAAGCCTGAGGGACCCATGGCTGGGTCCTCCCCACCAGCAGACCACCATATGGACACTTCTTAGACAAAGTGTACACTCCTTTATGGACAGGAACAGAAGGATGCTGAGAGGAGGACAAAGGTATTGTGTAGACCACTGCAGAGTGATACCACAGCAGATGCAGGGTGGAAGCCTGGTAGGCAGAAAGGTGACACATCACAGGAGCAGGATTACTCCCGACTGTAGACATGCAAAAGTAGGTACCTGCGAGCGAGCTTGTCATCTAAACTCCTCTTACAAACAACAGGCCATCAAATCCATTCATTCATGAAGACTGGAACAACCCCACCTTAGAGTCAAGTCAAATGAGCAACATAACCACTCCAACAAATAGGATAGAAGAGGATTTCAGAAGCCTAAGAAATTCTAGGTCGAAATCTGTGTGTAGACAAGAACTAGACTACAGCTCACAGAGTGGTCTGGATGCTGACAAACAGCAGTAACACACTGAAGGAATCAGAAGGTGCGAGGCCAAGAAACACCACCAATGGCAAAAGTCAAGACCTCACAGAGTGGGCGAGTGCTTGGTTGGGTCACAGTGCCCGAACAAAGAATTGTCATAGTGTTCAAATTTGGAGAAGCATAAGGAGAAGCAAATCTTGTTATGGCTTGGATCAGCACACCAACCAAGTTCATAAAACTGTTGAAGGGCTACTCTGGCACAATGTACTTCAATTCAGCACTTCTGCAGGAGCAACAGGAGTTGAAGGGTTCACTAGCACTATGCTTAATTTGAAAAATGGAAACAGCATGAAAAACCATGAAACTTTTGCAAAATATTATAAAAAGGAAAAGCTTTGTGAGTAATCTCAACACTGTTTAACAGCACTGTACTAAAGGGTAAAGTGATGCACACCATCTATCAAAGTGTTTGAGAAAATACAAGTGAAAACCATATGGCTGAGCAAAATAACAACATAGGCTATCAGAAGCAAAAAATATTTTTTAAAATGGGCCTACTGAAATTATAAAATTGTAAGTCTGACAGGCCAAAAAATTAAAGACAAGAAATCATGCCTGAAAAGATTTAAGGAACAATCTGGAAAAGACTAATAATGCCACTTCTCAACTAAAACTTCCGTCATACCAAAAGACTAACATGACTAATGGGATACTAACCTTTGAGAAGATCTGGGTAAGTACAAAGCAGTAAGCCTTGTAAACTACACCAGACAAAGTGGGAGGAACTACTCTGAAAAACAGTATTAATGACTACACAGACAAGCAGGACACATTGCGAAAGACCTAACAAAGCTTTTCATGCTTTCATGTAAAGCGGTATCATGATTGACAAACCTCAAAAAAAGGTTCCGCATGCAAGAAAAGCAAATCAGAAATCCCATCAAGCACTATTAACCAAAAAAAGTATCTTTCAGTGTCCTTCACAGAAAGTTCTCAAAAACACAAAGCTGCCACAGCATAAGAGGAACATCCTTGCCTGGATAGATAACTTTATGAAAGACAGAAAACCAAGGAAAAAGAAATGGGCAGTACTCACCCTGGAAAGACATTGTCCAGCAGTATTTCATGGGAATCTGCTCAGAGTCACTATACTCTGCTATCTATAGACAATCTAACTATTCAGCAGCAGGAGCAGAGAACATCATGCCCTGGTATAAATTCATGGAGCAACCACATCTCCAATGCTCTGGGCACTTCTGATTCCTCTTACCACAAAAAAAGATGTAAATGGGAAAGTTACTGAGAAGGAAAGCAAGGACCTTCAAACACATGGAACAGATTCATGTGGGGAACCATTAAGACACTTGGACAACTCAGTCCAGAAGATGAGATAACTGAGATATGAAAGTAATTTATAAGATAATGAGTAGCATGAAAATGGAGACACAACAACTGTTCAGTACGTCTTCCAATTTAATAACCAAGGAACATTAAATGAAGCTAATATATGACAAGTTCACAGAGGGCAGTCCTCACTATTTGTTGTCCTATGAATTTCCTTGCTCAAGTACCTGCAACAGACCTGAGAAGTTTCATATGTTTAAAAAGCAACCGGACATATTTTTTGGACTAAAACTCCTCCAAGCTATAGAAAATAAAATCCACCACAGGCTTGGAGAGTATTCCAGGGACTTTGTCCAGCGACAATGGAAGTCACTATCCTATTGCCAACAGAAAACTTTCATTAAGTCAGTGCATCCATTTGTATGTTTCACTGGCACATTTCATGCAAAAAAGCATTGGGGTAATGACCATCTTTGGACACTTCAACAACACAAGAGCGTCTAATTTTGTTCTAACCTTCAACATTATATTCACCATATTCAGAATAAGATAAAAAAAAAGATTTGTGCCCAACAAAGAGACAAAGAAAACTTGGTTTTCATATATGAATAATTCAGAAGACAAACCTACTGGTGATTATTTATATCATCCCAGATTTCCATGAAAATCTGTACGTTACACATAAGTCTTTATAATAAGCTTCTATTACATAACCAAGCTGTGTGATCAACTTCAGAAGGCATCAAAAGAACTAATCTCAGCTCTTTATATGCAAAGCAATGCTTTAATTATATTTCTTGGCCTTAACTTCCAGGGTAGGTAGGGAACAGTCAACGTAATAATGTATGATGCAGCATCCCAAGTTTTCACCTTTTCCTGTAACATATGCAGCATAGACATAATACCACAGAAAGAAATACTTTAAAATCTTCATATATTCTACATTAACAGAGTAAGGCAGTTAAATGAAAGTCCGGCAGAGTAAAGGTAGCTGGAGGCACAAAGGGGAGATGGGAGCAGGGGGAAGCAAGATATGATAGCATTATATATCCCCAATGATGTGAACAAATAATTTTGTTTGCACTTAATGTTACTATACCCTCCTTCCCAAGCTCTGAATTTCATTTATCACTGTGTGTTGGTAAGCTGTCTGATGCACAGGCAACACTTTCATATATTTTTGTGCAAAAACAATAAAAATGTGATCCTTATTAAGGCTTCTTGAAGGAAAACAAAACAAAACAGTAATTTATATTATTTTTATTTTCCACCAAATCAAAAGGAAATTTGTTCCGCAGAAACAGAATATTTAAGGTTTCCCTTGGGGCAGGAGGGGCAATGTTTCTAAAATGGAGACAAAGTGGTTGATTTGCAACCTGTCATAATAGGTTAACCAAAGTTTGAACTATTAAAGGTTGACATAATACATGTTTTACAAGATGAGAAAAAAATTGAAAAGAGTTCAGAATTATCTTTTGGGGCGATATATACACTGACTTGCTATTTTAAATAAAGCTTTTCTTCAGGAACCAGTTCTGAATCAGAACAATTCTTTCAAGAACACAATTCAAAATCTGCCTACAGAGCTGAACAATATTTGTAACAGAACTCTCCCTTATTTCCATTTTTTAAAGAGGTTAAGTTAATAGTTCCTCTCCAATATAAAACAACAAGAGGAATAGAATTTGAAGAGCAACTTGGACTCTCTGTGTGGCACTTAAGAGTAGAATAACGAACAAAATCTTTGAACAGTTCTCATTCCTACAAAGACACATGTATTGAAAATATGCTGAAAAATTAAGCCATACAGTGAAGCTGTTGGAGAATATAGACTGTTCACCATCCCAAGATCTGGAGGATAACTGTTGAGTTCCATGGTAATAGTTGAGAAACTCCAGTTATTTTTACAGGATACCTTCGGAGATAAATCTCCAGAAAAAGATATAGAAAGTAAGCACCTTTAATACTGCAACGATGCCAACACCTAGTGTTTCCTTTAATATGTTTAGGGAGGTTAGAATTCAAACAAATTCCTAGGACAGATAAGAGTATTTTATCTTTAAGTAGTATTTAGT